TAGATGACATTTAACAGAAGAGACCTGGAGCATGACCGCCCTATCCAATCTGGTGGAGCGGGCAGATACCGCCAGGAAGAGGCAGTCTTGTAGATAACCTGGCCCTGTGCCATGCAAGGCTTTAAAAGTGATAACCAGAACCTTGAATTGCCCTCAAAAGGAAACTGGAAGCCAGTACAGCTCATGTAGCAAGGGTCTAACATAGGCAATCTGAGGGGCACATGAAATTGCATGGGTTGCTGTATTCTGGAACTATTGTAATTTCTGGATGGTCTTCAAGGGCAGCCCCGTGTAGAGCACATTGCAGTAATCCAACTGGGAAGTGACCAAAGCATGAGCGACTGCGAGATCATCTCCTGAGTCAGGAATGGGTACAATTGGCATGTGAGATGGAACTGGGCAAAGCCCTCCTCCCTCCATGGCAGCCACTTGCTCAAGTTTAGGAGGTCCCCCAAACTGCCCACCAGTTCTGCCCAGGGGAGTGCTATCCCACTGAGAGTCAAAGATGACACCTCTCTGGATCCAGTTGGGGCATACACTGAAAGACTCTGTCTCATCGGGGTTGAGTCAAAGCTGATTCCTCCCCATTCAGAACCTCACAGTCTCTAGGCACTGGGCCAGCACCATCTGCGTGTCCAGAGGTGAAGATTGTATAACTAGGTATTATCAGCATATTTATGATACTGCACCCCATGCCACTCAACAACCTCACCCAGTGGTTTCATGTAGATGTCAAAGAGGAGCAGGGAGAGACCCAAGCCTTGAGGCACCCCACACAAGAAGGGTCTATGAAAGAGGAAAGGTTGGAGACTGGACTAAATTTGTCCAACACTGTTGAGTCAAAGGAGGGTCTCTTGAGAAGGAGATGCATCACCACCCCTCCCACAAGGAGACATTAACTGTTTGGACCCCACCACCTGCCACCTCATGAGAGGGCCTCAACCAACCAGGAGGGGCATGGGTCCAGAATACAAGTGACCAAACTCACAGCAGCAAGGACTCTGTCCCCTTCCCTCAGGATTGATTGGTTTAAATTCCTCCCAGATAACCAAGCTCAGACGAGCCTCAGGCACTTTCATAGGATCTGCCCAAATGAAGTCCAACTCCAAGCAAAACCTAGCAACTTTGTCCAACAGATACTGAGAATATTCCTCAAAGTGGCCCTGCAAAGCACCTTACCAGAAGGGACCTGATTATCCAAAAACAGGGCCACTGTCTGGCTGTCTGCAGACACAGTAAGAACAGAAAAGTGACCTTGCTTTGCCACTCTCATTACCCCAAGGTAGGTCCTAATAAAGGCTCTTACCTGTGCTCTTTGTCTTTCACCAGTAGCACTCTAGATGTCTCTCCATCTCCTGGAGCTCCACAGTAAATATAGGAGCTCAATGGGATCTGCGATCACCAAGAGTCTGTACAAGTACAATCTGGTCCAAGGCCCCTGCAACATGCTCATTCCATGCTGCGACTGAGGCCTCAGCCAAACTATAAGCCTGAGTTTTAGGAATAACCTAAACTGGGTCCATATTGGGTCCATCAGTCTCCCGGGGTGGGCCAATCAAATAGGCCTACCTCCTTGTAGTAAGAGGCAGGCATACAAAACTCCAGGGCCAAGAGGGTGTGATCTGTCTATGGCAAGGGGCTGATGTTAACATACCTCAACCCCAGATCGCAAAACCACTACCATGAGACAAAAACCAGATCCAATGTGTGACCTCAGCTATGACTTGGGCCCTGAATAAATTGCACAAATCCATAGTTGCCCTGGTGGCCATGAATTCCTGAGCCACCTCTGACTCCAGATCTAAAGAAAGCAGACTAAAGTCCCCCAGGACTATAAGTCTGGGGAGCTCCACTGCCAACTCAGCCACAGAGTTAAGGAGCTCAGGCAGGGATGTAGCCATGTCGCAGGGAGTAAGGTAGGCAAGCAGCAGCCCCAAATGGTCCTTATACCCCAATTTCATGAATAGGATCTCACATTTAGATATGTCAGGGGCAGCACCCCTAAAAGTCACCAGAGATTGTTGGATAACCACAGTCATACCCCCATCCATGCCCTGATGCTGTGGCTGGTGCCATAGCTGAAACCCAGAAGGGCACATCTCTAAGAAGGGAACTCCCTCCTCTGCACCTAGCCAGGTTTCAGTGATGTATGCCAGGTTGGCCATCCCATTCACAATCAAATCACGGATGAGATGAGCTTTATTACAAGCCAACCTAGAATTAAATAGCAGCAGCTAGAGGCCAGAGCTATTGATGACACCAAGTCTTGGGGCTGAGTACAGGAGACTGGAACATGGTATTGGTATTAGATACTGAGATCACCCTCCCCAGGAGTGGCCCACCCCATCTCCTGCCATATCTCCCCATGCCTGTTACCATGATATTGTGCCCTGCCCTCTCCTCCTCTCACTATCCAACCCCCACCCCCTTGTCCTTTTACCCCCAAGTCGAAGGGACCATGTACTAACACAAGCAGTGCAGAACAAATAAACTTTCATGTAACATTCACTATTTAAAGCCTAGGCCACACCTCTATCCCTTACCACCCACTCTACCACACTTCTTTCCATTAATTACTCTTGTAGATGAACTCTCATAGGACCGAGGGAGAGGTAGTTTAACTTTCTTGGTCATTCTTAATATCTCAGTGGTTTTCAATACTACCAATCATGGCATCCTTCTGATTGGCACCAGGAGTTAGGAGTGGGGGGTACTGAGCTACAGTGGTTCTCCTCCTTCCTCTGTGGATGGTTCCAGTTGGTATTAGTAGGAGAGAAGAGCTCAAACCTGAGGTTCTTACTGTGCAGGATTCCTTAGGGCTTAATGCTCTCCCCACTCCTATTTAACATTTACATGAGATCAGGGGTGAAATTATCCAACAGCATGGGATCAGGTTTCATCAATATGCCCATGATACCCAGTTATCTATTTCAACCTGTGCCAAGCAGGTGATGCTGTAGAGGTCCTGTCCCAATGCCTGGAGGCTGTGATGGGAAGGAACAGGCTTAGATTTAACCTTAGTTAGACCTAGTGGCTGTGGCTTCAGAATCTTCTGCTCCTGGATATTGTCCAGCTTTAGTCCTGGATGGGGTACACTTACCCAGATGGAGCATAGCTTGGGGTCCTCCTAGACATGTAGTTCTTGCTTGAAGAGCAGGTGGCTGCCATGGCTAGAAGTGCCTTTGTGCAGATTCATCTTGTATGGCAACTATGGCCTTTCTTGGATTGGGAGTCCCTTATCATGGTAACTCATGGTTCAGTCACCTCTTGTTCAAAGTATTGCAATGTCTCTACCCTTGAAAACCACTCAAAAACTTCAGCTGGTCAAGAATGTGTCAGTGCAAGTTTATGAATGCATTTCAGTATATCCATGTAGCAATACAAAAGCACTAACTGCACTGGATACCAGCTGGCTTGCAGGTACAATTCAAAGTATTGATCACAATCACTAAAGCCCTTCATGGCTTGGGGCCTGATTATTTATGGGACCACCTCTTTCCAATTGTCTCTGCCCATTCCATAAAATCTGACAGGGTTGGCATATTTGAAGTCTGCTCCTTGAAGAAATGTTATCTTATGGGACCCTGGAAGCATGCCATCTCCATCACTGTTCCTGCTCTCTGGAACAGCATTCCTCCAAAGTCCACAGAGCCCCAACCATGTTCTTCAGAAAGGTCATAAAACCTGGCTCTTCCAGCAGTCCTGAATAATTTTGTGTACCTCCCACGACTGTTTTAAGATCTGTTGTAAGATCCCTAGGCAGTTGTTTGCTATTTAGTTCTTTTACTGGTACATTTTTTTTAACCTGTCCTGTATGCCGCTTTGAGTCACTTGACAATTAGGTGGCCTTATAAAACCAATCAATTAATTTTAAATTCAAAAACAATTTTATGGTTCCACAGACACTAATCTAATCACAGGCATCCTGGAATCTATGGTGCTAGATTGTAATCTCTGATGTAAAACTACAGGACATGACAAATGGTAAATCGGAATTAAAATGCAAAATAATTCTTTCTCAGAATTATTTTTGTGGGCTAAATTATAAAGCCAATATTTATTCCTTACATCTCTCACTGATGTTGGATTGGAACCTAAACAGACTGTTCTGCACACAAGGTGCTTCTATCATCTATTGCTACCAATTCTTTTCTAGCCCATCCAAGAGACTCTCCTGACTTCTATAGCATTACAAGGATGGAAACCGAAACCAGTGCTCCTGAACAAAGAAGAGGTCTTGCTAATCCCTGCCTCTTTATATTTCCTCACAATGATTCATCCTATCTGAGTAAGCAAACAGGCATCCTACCACCCCAAAATTCTCCTCCAACTCTGATGTGTAATATTTATGCTTTTCTATACCACATGGATGATCTAAGCAGTATCAAAATGCTGTTAATAAATGATAATAAATTAGAACTGATTTGCAGTATTGTATTTTTTTTTTTCAAAAGACCAATTTTTATTTCAGAATAGGAATAAACTAATTGTGGTTCAGCGTTAGCAACCACATTTTTTTTTTTAAAACTGAAGTATCAGTTTTTTTCATTATCTTCCAAATGGTCTCTAAACCTGACAACAGGAATTTCTATAGAATAGAAGAAGCAGAACAATCTCTCCAAATTCTTTTTCTCCCAAGTAACAGAAATCCAATTCTACATACAGATATAGTTAGACTGTATACATCTTTGTACTGTTTTTCAACAATTAAGTTTCAATTTTGGGATTTGCAGTCCTGACTTATTTGGAAGTATCAGATGGAAACAAGCAGACAGAAACACTTTAAGGCTACAGGTGTTCAATATATACAACACTGGCAATTCATTAAAAAAATACAAATTAAACAAAATAATTCTAATTTCTCTGTACCTGATATACTTGTCTCAACACAGATTTATTTCAGTAGCAATCTAGATATTTTAATCTCTTGGAAAATGTTTTTAATACATTTAAAAAGAAATACAAAACACACACAGAGAGAAGGATCACTGAGAACTCACATTTGTCATAATGATTGTCAGCATTCTGTGCAAAAAGCGATAATAAATCTGATCACTTGAGATGACATGAGGCAAGCAGGCATACTTTTGTAATAGCTTCTCATGAGTCCTCCATTTTAAAGAGGTTGCTGCCCTCTGTTCAGCTCTTGTTAGTGCTGGAATTAACTCTGGAAAATTTAAAAACTGAAAGAGGAAAAATATTTGTTGGCTATTTTTTGGCATAGTTAGCCTAAGATATTAAATCAGGTTAGAATCCCCAAAATAGAGTAGCACAAACACAATGGTTAGTAGCATAGGGTTCATAATCACAAAGCCTTATAGTTTATGTCCATCAAATTATCTGACGTTGCTGACAGTAAAAAAATCCCAAAACCTAAGGCTGATATTAGCATATGGGCAAAATCATCCAGATGAAGCTAGTTCTTTAGATATTTGGCTCCAAACTATTTTGGATTTATTCATCCTTTATTATGTATGCTATCAGTCATTTAAATCAGTGCTATGTGTTCCTAGCAACCGGCTTATGCTGTGAGTTCCCAGCCTACACCGATATGCACATTACCAAATTCTATACCAACCAAAGTTTTCAAACTATCTTTGAAACTTACATAAAATGCATAAAGTCAAACTCGGATTTAACTATGATGTGAGTTACCATAGCTAGAGCTGATCCTAAACTGGTAAACTGATGTTTCTGGTCACTTTTACTACCTGCAATATGCAGGAGAGAGCCAGAGCCTGAAAACTGCAGGGAACTAGTCTATCCAGGTTTTGCTGCATAGCTGCATAGCTTTTTCCAGTTCACTGTACATTTATTTTGTCTGATGTCAGTTACCAAGGGAGAGAATACCAGTAAAACAAAAAGCCAAATAAAAACTTTTTTACTAGCACTTGGGATTGCTGCCGCTCTCCCTTGTTTACTGCTGTCCCTGCCCTCCTCTTTCACTGGTGTAAATTATATTTTGTTTTCCCTCCTCCCTTAAGATTCCCAAGGATATTAAGAGAACCTGTCCTGGGAGATATATAGAGTATGGATCAAAGCTTTCCCCACAACACTGAAAATAAGGTACTCAAGGTTTACTCTCCCTCTCCATTAATGTAATCACAGTCTCACAAATGAAAGCAGAAATAGTAATATCTTCTAGGTGCTTTCAGGGTGAGAAAAATGATGGTGGACTTTCCTGTTTTGTTATTTAAAATATGATTCTGCTGGCAGAGTCATCTACTTTACCTTGTTTTCTGATCCACTGCTTTCTCCTCCAGTAGACAGAAGTTCGAGGATTTCAGGAAGGTGATTTATTAATGCATCTATCACCTAATTAAAAGATAATATATTACTTACATTTCCAAAACCTATCTACCTACCTAGTTGATCTGAGTGCAGAACTGCAGACTTAGGAAAGTATCCTGATCTAACACCCTGCAGAAGGCAAGGTCAGAAATGTCGTATGAAGAAGCAGGGTGTAGACAGTAAAGAGGATGACCTTGACGGAGAGAGGGAAGATCAAAGCAATAAAAAGGAAAAAATTGCTTGAGTCCAAACAATGGGGGAGAATTATGAAAACATCTCAGGCAGATACACCCCTCATTCACATGAATATAAAAGAGGGATCAGGGGAAACATAATCAGACTTGCAAGATTATATTGCTATAGCCAATCTAAATAAAAGTAGTTCTTAGTCTTCCAGGAGTCTATTTCTTGGCCTGGTCTGCTGTCTCACAGGGTTGACAAAAGGTATTTGGAACCAATAGTTGCTGGAACTGAAAAGTTAGAAATACCCATTCTTACCTGTAAAATAGCAGGAAGCAGTGGAGATGTTTCAATTAGTATCATATAAATTTGGGTGTCAGTTCATCTCTAAAATGCCTTGCAGCAGTGGCAAACAGTTCCAGGTAATGGACTAACTGACCAATCACCACTATGCCGAGTGCTTATCTATCATAGATTCCCACTTAAATTTTGGGGAGTTTCTTCCCTCCAAGAAACACAATTCTATAAACACAGTGACTTCTCTATTCAGTGCTTCATCTAAATCTCTCCCTTTCTGATTTAAGCCATGCTTCTACAATATTCATTGGAGAAGGCAAGTTTAAGAGGGAATATGATAGTACTCCATTATAGTTGTTCTGCTTTCCAGAATTTAAAAATATTAAAAATTATTTCTTTTTTGTTTTCCTAGTCTGAACATGCCCAGTCCCTTTCCTAGCCTGAATATGCCCTCCTTGCATAACTTCACCTTCTATTGCCTCACTCCATACATTCTGATTTAACAACATAATTTCTGGAACAAAACTGAGCACATCATACCAAAGGGAATCTTACTCAGCACTAATCATACTGACTGAACTTAACACTGATATCAAACTGGAGTGAGATCAAACTATTACATGCCCCTTTGAACAGTGATTTCTTTTGCAAATTCGAATTTATACATTTTCTATTTCTCCTGGGAAAGTGTTACAAGAGTTATAACTCATCACTTTCAGAAGACTCTACAGTGACAACATTCTCTGTCCTTTATGATTAGATCATGAGACAAACAGCTATGATTCATCCCTATGCTTCGACCCATCAAGAATTTTTTTCCTTTAATAAACAGTGTAACTTTATCTAACATAAGTAACAAATAGGTCATTACCTCTAGTGATTCATCCTGCAATAGGGCTATCAGTTCTTTATGTATTATATACACATCAGTATTTAAAAGCTTGGCAACCTGGAAAATCATGAAACAACAAAATACAGATATTAGTCCTTTTAATCTGTATTTATTTTTTAAAAGCAGAGTACCTTGAACAGGAAACACCTTTAAAGACTAAACCTATAATGCCAATATCCACACTTTAAGGCTGTGGAGGCAATATCCTTTCCTTACTATTTGCAATATAGCATTATATTGATAAAAACATAGAAAGGGGATGTAGTGGTAGTTGTATGCTTTGGAATTAATCTCTGAGATGCAGTTTGCTAGTTTATATAATCCATATATACTTTGAAAAAGAATTTTGCATGCTTTTGCCATGTACTTCCTATTAACTTAAAACACATGATCAGATTCTAATTCCCAGATGTATTAAATACTGTATTATTCAGTCTTTTGAGACTGACAAAATAAAGACAAAAATGAACAGTACCCATGTTACTTAACAGAGTCCAAAAAGAAATAAATGCTTCATTAAGAGAGGGAATAGTCTTGCCTGTCTTGAAAGTAGTAGTTTGTAGAAAAATTCCTAATGAAGGCATTCTGCTCTATGCTATTGTGTAATAACAAACCTTCCTTGTTTCGGTAAAGTATTTAAGTAAGCCACAGATTGATCAAGACTGACATAGATTATTTACACCCATTTCAGACCAATTTCTGGCCTATGTCTGAAGCTAAAAACTTCCTTATCAAAATGCTTGACTGACAGAAGAATTTGTATGAGACTCTGCTAACTCTCCTAGACCTCTCAACTAGTTTTCAACATCAATGCCCATATCATCATTTTAGATTGGTTTATACAGTTCTATTCCTTCCCAGTAGATAATTTTCAGTAATAATGTTGAGGTTCTATAACACTGTGAGCCCCATTTGATCTCCTATGCAATTTAAGACCTAAGTAAACTATGGGGGTATATCTGGAATACGATGCCATCAATAGGCTAATTCTTTTTCAGGCAGCAAAAGGTGGTGAAAGTTCTGAACAGGTTTCTGAAGTCAGGAGAAGTGAGGTTAAGTCTTTCTGAGTGGCTATATTCTTCACAGGTATAAATAAGCCAATGAACAACTAATACATACTGGGAGGGATTGTGCATGACATGCTAAGGATTCTCCTAATTTCTATTGTGCTTCTTACGGTATCTTTTCACAGAGGCAATTAACACAAAGGAAAAAAAAAACAATTAATTGATTTTTATACTCAGGTTGTAAAGCCAACTGTTTCAGAGAGTCCAGTTAAAATGGTCTGACACTGATAAAATGTAGAGACTATCGTATGTCTTTAGGTGAAATTAATGGAATTTACAGTATGGCTGTAGCTATGTTCATTCAGAGGTGTTTATAATTGTACTGACTTGTAAACCCACAACAAATTAATCAAGGTGCTAAAGTATTATTGCAGAGCATATGCTTGAAAGCACTGGAATAAAGTGTATGTGACAAACAATGAGAGGTGGAAAAAAAAGATAGAGAAAACATTTGTAGTTCATATTCTTATAACCTCTAGATTGGATCATTGCAATGCACTCTACCTGGGACTGCCCCTGAAGGTTATCTGGAAACTGCAGTTAATTCAGAAAGTATGATACATATATTATGGGTGCTGCATTGGCTTTGAAAGGGTGCAATTCAAGGTGCTGGCATTTACTCATTTTATTTATATTTATATATCACTGAAGGAAGTTTACATTAATTAAAAATATTAAAAACAGACAATTAAAAACATCAACATAATCCAAAAGCAAGAATCAAAATAATATAAACAATAATCACAATCATAATCATAATATATGTCTGAAAATGCCAGGGCAACACTGGACAACTTCAGCTTCCAAATGCTGCATGGGATAACTCTTGTATTGATGGTTTTTTGAAAAGAAGCCAGAGTTGGCACCAACCTAAGTTCCAGTAAGAAACTGTTATACAAAGTGAGACCATCACCATTCTTGATTTCACCTTTTCTAAGTCAGTTTTCTTCACCATTCCCAACTGGGATGAGCAAACTAGATAAGTTAGTTCTACCTGGAGGAAGAGGTTTCACAAGTACCCAGGAGCCATTTCTTTAAAGATCAAAACCAACATCTTGTACATTGTACTCTGAAACCTAGTGGAGCCAATGTAGCATCCATGATATAGGTCACATGACTGTAATGGTTCTCATCCATCACTGTGTGTGCTGTTGCATTCTATATTGTTTGCAGTTTTTAGATAGCCTTCAAGGGCAGCCTTGAGGAAAGGGAATTAGGCAAACTTCCCTTGGGAGAGAATTCCATAACTGGGATACTGCTACTGAGATGGCCTACTCCTGACAATCGCAGTGTGAACCAACTCTATCAATACAACCATAGGCAGGGCCTTGCCACTGATTTTAGAATGCACACTCAATGGTTCTTAGGGGAGGCAATCTTTTAAGTACTTTCAATAGGTTAAAATATGTATTTCAGTTAATTATAAACATGCCAAAATGAGATTCTATAGATAGATTTATTCAAATTAAGCCAAACAGTGTTTCCATAAGATACATTTCATTTCCTGACTTACTTCATAGAAGCTACTAGCCATAGTATGTCTGACTGGTACTTCAGGATCATGGCAGAGACAGAAGAATGTAGAGTACAGTTCCAAATTGAAATTTTTGGGATCCACAAAAATCATCATGGCCTAGGAATATAAACAATTTAGTATGCAATAAAGATTACTGTATACTGATATTATATTACATAAAGAAGGCTAATGACATTTATCCTTACTCTAGCAAGAATTCCCACAGTGGTGTCCTTGATCTATATGCTTCCCCCCTCCCCCGCCTCTGCTTTCCTATTTGCTCTTAAAAGATAGCTTGCAGAAACAAAATTTATAATCTGTCTGCTTAACTGGAGTAAGCAACAATGGTCATTGAATCAGGCAACCCTTCTTCCTCCTTTTAATCTACTCTTTGTCATAACAGGAAAAGGTTCAGCCCCACTAACCTTACTGTTCTCTGAATTAGGAGAAAATGTGTTTCAGAGAAACTCAGCTCTCTTTAAAATCAGAAACAGTTTCACAAATCTACCTTTTACACAACTACTGATAGATAAATGAAGGAGTGTTTCACTCACAGGTAAATTGTAAGCACAGTTCTTCCTCACTGATATATATTTCTTTTCCTGTTCTAGGGTTTGCAGCTGTATCTGGTTGTCATTGTGCCCATTTTCCTGTTCTAATCCCAGTGTACAAAGCTTCTTATAGAACTCCAAAAATCGCAAATGCTGCTCTGGTGTAAAAATTCCTTTAAACAAATAAAATGCTTATTCAGTATTTTATTTTCATAAATTGGTTAAAGAACAGCCTATCAAAACAGTGTAGCAGACATAATGAATTCAGGACTATCTTCAAATCTCTGCCATGCCAGGAAGTTAATTGACAATACTGGCAGATCTCACCTCCTCTTTCCCTAGCTGCCTCGTGCAATTGTTGAAAATTTCAGAGACACCAAATGTAACTTCTGAAAACACTTTCTATGTTAGTGTGAAGAAATGTAGATTTGACAAAACTAAATATTTTATTTTGTATCACTTTATGTTTGAAATTCAGCATTTGCAAATCAAAGAACCATAACAAGATAATCATCATGAACCTCTAATACGCTAAGGCTTTTCTCTTGGAATTGATCAACCCACATTTCGCAGTGCTAACAGCAATCTAATACTTTTCTGAGATATCAAGATAAGAATTACTGTATTCTGTATGATTTCAGTCATGTATTTCTATAACACATGAGGATTTACATCCTAGAAGTAAATAATATACTTCTAGGATGTAAATAAATATATTATATTATCTATAATATAATAGGAGTTAATCTTTCTTAAGGGCTCTTCTATAATGTATTAGAAGTATATGTATTATGAATGTATTATGTATTATGAATCTCTGAGGGGGAAAGCCCTGAAAGAATAAATTTTACTTTATTTTTAGATAAAACCTTAAAGCTAACTACTTCTCCTTAGTGTGGAACTAAATTGCTGAGAATATCTTGAACCACAATAAGAACAAATCATTCAACATCAGTTGAAGTAAAACAAGACTGCTCACTGGAACCACAATTGATTATGTGCCATCAAGTCAGTGCTGACTCTTAGCAACCACATAGATAGACTTTCTCCATAATGATCTGTCCCTAACCTGGTCTTTTAGGTCTTCCAATGGTGCACCCATTGCCACTGCAACTGAGTCCATTCACCTTGCTGCTGGTTGTCCTCTTTTTCTCTTTCCTTCTACCTTTCCCAGCACTGAGCCTTTTTCAGAGAGCTAGGTCTTTGCATAATGTGTACAAAATAGGATAATTTGAGCCTAGTCATTTGAGTCTTTAGTGAGAACCCTGGATTGATTTCTTTGATTATCAATTTGTTTTCTTCTAATAATGAAGCTAAAACTTAAATATTTTGGATACATAATGTGAAGGCAAGAGTCATTGTAGAAGACCCTTATGCTTGGAAAAACTGTAGGCAACTGAAAAAAGAGGCTGGCACAAAAGAAAGAAATGATTATACAAACATTATAAGCATGAGTTCAGAGGAACTCAAAGCAGCAGTTCTTGCCAGACAATTTTGATGAAATTATGCAAATTGGTTAACAAAGAGTTGAAAGTGACTGAGCAACTGGACAACAATTTTTACTGCAAGTAATGAAATTTTAATTAGTCCTAACAGTTGATGCTTTGATACAGTTTGCATTCCAAGACAAGAAGAAGTTTCATACACAGAATCCTCATCTTCTGAGGAGGCAGGTACGATTCACACAAAGACTACTTACATTATTAGCAGATCAGCAATTCTAATCCAAGGACAAGAGTCTATTATTTGTTGTATAGGCTGTTGTAATAGTATTTATCTGCACATTTAATTTATTTGATTTGTATCCCACCTTTCATTCAGGAGCTCAAGATGGCATGCACAGCACTTGCTTATCCCATTTTCCCCCACAACAATCACCCTGTGAAATAGGTTGGACTGAGAGAAATTACTGGTCCAAAGTCACACCATGAGCTTCTGTGGCTGAGGATAGGATTGAACCTGGGTCCAACATGACACTGGCTAATATATATAATTGAATGTATGTATGTATATATGTATGTATCATGTTAAGTTTTTACAAAAAAAAGAATAGGCACAGAATCCAGTGGCCAAGCAACTGGAAGGCATGTTCTGCCACTGCAGAACAATACCTCTTTTATGGTTGCAATATAGGTTGTCAGTAAGCTTCTGGGCCCAATTCAAAGTACTCATTATTACCTATAAGGCAGTGTATGGTGCAGCACCAGGTTACTTTAGGTCCATTCAACAGCTCCATCTGTTGAGAATGATTCTGCCCTTCCTATCAGCTCATGCAGAGCCTGCTTTAGATTCCACCTCCACGTGACGTTGGTAGGATGTGGGTTAAAAGGCAGGGCTTCACAGTTGTGCCTCATAATCTGTGAAATACATTGCCCTTGGAGATAATTTGGTCCTCCTCATTCCTGGCCTTCAGGAAACTTCTGAAAGCTTTTCTTTTTAGGGAAGTTTTCAGTGAAGGAAAATTTAATCTTCAAAACAATAGCCCCAGATAGACCTGTCCTCCATGAATTTATCCAATCCTCTCTTAAAGCCAACATATTTCATGGTAATGAATTCCATAGATTAATTATGCATTGTGTGAAGGTAGTTCCTTTTTCATTTATTCATTCTTAAATTTGTATGCCGCCCATTTCCCCCAACGGGTGACTCTGGGCGGCTCAAAGTTAAAATCAAAAACCCCATCAACAATTAAAAATACCCCATAAATAATTAAAATAAATTACTGTATTTTTCTGACTATAAGACGATACTTTTTTCTAAAATCCTTACGCTAAAAATTGAAGGGCGTCTTATTCAAGGAAGTAAGCCGAGGAGAGAACCGCGCCTGCAAACAGGCTTCCTCCTATTGCTAGCCTCCAATCAGAAGTGAAATAGCTTGTCTCTGCAAACAGGCTTCCTCCAATCACGAGCCTCCAATCACGAGTGAAACTGCCCATACTGTCTCTGCAAACATAAAATCAAAAACCCCATCAACAATTAAAAATACCCCATAAATAATTAAAATAAATTACTGTATTTTTCTGACTATAAGACGATACTTTTTTCTAAAATCCTTACGCTAAAAATTGAAGGGCGTCTTATTCAAGGAAGTAAGCCGAGGAGAGAACCGCGCCTGCAAACAGGCTTCCTCCTATTGCTAGCCTCCAATCAGAGTGAAATAGCTTGTCTCTGCAAACAGGCTTCCTCCAATCACGAGCCTCCAATCACGAGTGAAACTGCCCATACTGTCTCTGCAAACAGGCTTCCTCCAATCACGAGCCTCCAATCACAAGTGAAACTGCCCATACTGTCTCTGCAAACAGGCTTCCTCCAATCACGAGCCTCCCATCACCAAGAGAAACTCCCCCACT